AGGGGCGGTGAAGCCCTTCCTTCGCCTTCCCCCCCCCCCCCCTGGCGACTGCTTCTGTCCCCCCCAGGCGACTGGCCACCCAGGCGACGACTGGCCCCCCAGGCGGTGAAGCCCTTCCTCCGCCTTCCTCCGCCTTCCTCCCCCCCCTCCAGCCCTGCTCCTGCCTCCCCCCCCCCTGGCGACTGGCTGGCCGAGCCGCTGCAGGAGGGGGCGGTCTAACTCGGGTCCCCGTCTGCGATCAGTGGTCGATTGGGGGTCGGTGCGTCCCCTCTTGAGCCTACCCCGCTGACGTGGCCCCTGATCCTCCTGTTCCTCCTGATCCTCCTCCTCCTCTTCCTCCTCCTCCAGGTGGCCCGAGTCGTTGGTTTCAACCCATTCGCGGCCTCTCGCGTCGCCAGGATTGCAGACATAGCCGCCGAGTACCCCTCCCACGACGCCATCGTGCTAGGCGGGACGCAGTTGCGCAGCACAGGCGAGCTTGTCGAGCCAGAAAGAATTGTGGATTCGTTTCGATGTTATCAGTTCGGTTACAAAAGAGGTCCGCTGGTCACACCATCGTGTGGTATTTCTATATTGTTGAAGAAGAGTCGGTTCCCGAAGCATGCTGTAAAACGAATTCTGCCAGTACCCGAGCAGCTGTGGGGAAGAGCATGATGTCTTCTAGTCAGGCAACAGGAGCAAGCGTTTGGTATTATTGGGCTGTGTTTGCCACCTCGTGTTTCTTAGACGGGACAGAAGCAGGTATACGACAAAGCTGTCACCTCCCTCATGGCATGGTTGCAGAGTACGCTTGGGTTTCTATACAGCAAGCATGCACTTCCCCCATTGTACATGGACTTGAATGGAGGTCTCAGGCACTCTGAAGATGGCTATGTTGCAGGAGAATGCGGCGTCGGCAACCCCTGCCCCGCCTCTGCTGCGATTCGCCCCGTGCTGCAGGCCTGGGACCTCTCTGCCGCGAACACCTTCTTCCCGAATGTTGTCTCCTACGTCGGTGAGACTGGAGAAAGTCACATCGACCATGTGGTGGTCCCTCGCGCTCTTCTTCCCGCAGGTGAAAGTTTCCAAGTTCACGCTAGAAGCGCCAGGCGACTTCAATTGCACCAGACGGCTTCAGCCAGGGACCACAGGCCAGTTGTACTAGTTGCACACGTCATCGCCTCCACCGCTCCTTTTCCCGAGCGGCCAGCTCGGCCCAATCGCGAGGCCATGTGCGAGTGCGTGCAGCTAGGTTTTAAGCGAGAGGATTTCATCAATGTAGTGAATCAGAAGGCGGAGGAGGTAATGGAGGATTCCAAGAGAATGTACGAGGAGGGCAAAGTGGACGACATGAACTCTACTTTAATGAGAGTGCTCAATTAGCAGCCTGCGAAGTGTTTACTAACTCTCCGCTGTGCACGGAGGAGAGAGTTACTAGCGCACAGCTGTTGGGTTTAGTATTACAGCAACGAAGACGACAGCGTGAACTGCTTGGCAGGTCTACTAGCGATTATGTAGCCCAGCGAATAACCGACGCGATCAAGCAACTCAGTCGCCAGCTCAGGGACACGGCCCGAAAATACTGGGAGGACGTTCGCAACAGGCGAGTAGCCGAACTCAAGCAAGCTCTTGAGCAGCGCAACTACTACTTGGTCGGAGGTGAGGGGGTGAGATCGAAGTGGAACGGAGAGCCCCCCTACCGGGAAATCGATTTCGGTTTCGTGTTCGTGCGTGCCGTGCGTGCGGGCGAGGCGAAGTGCGTGGGCGGGCGAGAAGAAAGTCTCCCGTGGCTGAGGCGCGGCCGGACCAAATGTCTCCCTTCCGGGCGGCCGGGGCCCCGCCGGTGCCCCGCCGGTGCCCCGCTGGTGTCCCGTGTGGCTGAGGCGCGGCCGGACCAAATGTCTCCCTTCCGGGCGGCCGGGGCCCCGCGGTGTCCCGCCGGTGTCCCGTCGGTGTCCCGTCGGTGATGGTGATGATGACGACGATGATGATGATGATGATGATGGTGATGTTGACAACGATGATGATGATGGTGATGATGATGGTGGTGATGATGGTGAGTTCGGTAGTGGGACCGAATGTGAGATCGTTTGTGATATCGATTGTGATATCGACAGTGAGGTCGATAGTGAGACCCAATGTGAGATCCATAGTGAGATCGATAGTGAGTTCGATAGTGAGATCGATAGTGAGACCGAATGTGAGATCGATTGTGATATTGTTTGTGATCTCGATAGTGAGATCGATAGTGAGTTCGAACGAGAGGTCGATCATGACTTCGATAGTGAGTTCGATAGTGAGATCGATAGTCAGATCGGTTGTGAGATCGATTGTGAGATCGATTGTGATATCGATAGTGAGATTTATAGTGAGACCGAATGTGGGATCGATTGTGAGATCGATTGTTAGATCGATCGAATGAGATCGATAGTGATATCGGTAGTGAGATCGATCGTGAGACCGAATGTGGGATCGATCGTGAGATCGATAGCCAGATCGATTGTGAGATCTGTTGTGAGAT